ACATGGGAAAAAAAATTCCCAGTGTAGAAGCAAGCGCGACCACATTGCACCTGAAAACTTGAATTAATCTACTTTAAAAATTCTTTAGGTAAGCAGATAGCTATACTTGCTCCACAATATGTACGGCGGTCTGTGGCAGAACAGAAATAGGACTTCTACACATATAAAGGAAAAATTGCACCTTGTACACAAGAAAAAAAAAAGAGGGGAGGAAAAATGCAAGCATTGTTCAGGTTTAGTGCTTCCAAAAATTTCATTCTTCTGATCAATGCTGGGAAAGAGATTCTCCAAAACTTTGTACATATATAAAGCTAGTCAAAATCCAGCTACAGCAGATCAATATTAAAGACCTTTTGTTGAAAGATTGCAGCAAATCAAACACGATAGAGCCATAATCTGTGCTTATAGAGTGCCACTCCATTCCCTTGCCTATGTCCTGATAGAGACATTTTGTGATTCATTTGCAGATCTGCAGGAACCAGTATCACAGTTCAGTATCTAGTTATTCTGATTGCTCACACAGTCATTTATCCATTTTAAATTTGAAAAATATCTGCCTATTGCGAGGATTTATTATTCAGCATTTATACAGTAGTTCCAATCCATGTGGCCTGATTGTGCTCAGTGCTTTATGGACACAATAAGTGACAGTCCCTGCTCCAAAGAGCTGGTTAAGATGTTGATCTGAATTAAATGGCCAGATATTTTCTTTTAGTCTGTGATCAAATAGAAAATAAGCAATAACTCCACAATTTTCCCCCTCTGTTTCTATGACCGATTCTGACTGATTTTACAGCAAAGGTTAATGTAACTTCTGAACCCTTTACCTGCTACCTAGAGGGTCATATTCATCGCTCTGCTTCCATGCATGGAGAGGACTGGGATTCTGTGAATCATGGCTGGGACAGAGATGGAAAATGGGTATTTCAGCTTCTGTAGCATCAGTCACAAAATACTGCAGAAACCCCTCTGTGCCACAGAGTCCAGGCCGCACCATGTGGGAGCCTATAGATCAAGAGCAGGAGGAGACAGGGAAGTTGGGGGCCACCCATACTTCCTAACTTTGTCCTCCCATTCAATCTGCATGACATTGTGGGTAGGTTAAAGTTGATTTTGCCCAGCATTAACTTCCTTGCTTTCCTCTCCTGCCCATGAACTCCCAGGGGGAGCAGCTGGATGGGGAACACACAAGAGTAGTCTCTATCAGAGCAGTGTTGCCACAGCAACAGGGAAGCTATGCTCTAGGGCTGAAGGGGGGGAAGGGAAGAGGAAGCAATTGTACCAGGATCCCAAGTTCAGGGGGGAACCCCAAAACATCTGTGTAAATAAAATGAAATGGGAGGAGGCAGGGCCCCGGCAAACATGACATACCAGGACCCCAAATGTCTCTCGACGGGCCTAGCCAAGCAGAAGGCTGCAGGAGGAAGGCAGTGCCTAAACACAGGCCCCCTGTGCAAGTGAACTTCCCAAGATCTAGTCAAGATGCACGTATCTAGGTCTAGCTGAAATTCTGCAAGTGTTAGAGAGCTTTTAGTCCCTGACTCCAGCCAGTGGAGGAGAGGACACAAACAGTATGCAGATGAACACATTCTCTGCTGTGTTCTCAGTCTTTTCACAGTGAACATAAGCACAGCCATACTGGGTCAGACCAAAAGGTCCATCTAGCCCAGTATCCCGTCTTCTGACAGTGGCCAGTGCCAGATGCCCCAGAGGGAATGACCAGAACAGGTAATCATCAAGTGATCCATCCCCTGTCATCCACTCCCAGCTTCTGGAAAACAGAGGCTAGGGACACTATGCTGGCCCATCCTGGCTAATAACCATTGATGGACCTATGTGCCTCCATGAATTTATCTACTTCTTTTTTTAACCCTGTTAGCATCTTGGCCTTCACAACATCCTCTGGCAAAAAGTTTCCACAGGTTGACTGTGCATGGTGTGAAGAAATATTTCCTTTTGTTTGTTTTAAACCTGCTGCCTATTGACAGGATTTAACATCATTCTTTGGGTATGTCTACACTACGGAATAAGGTCGAATTTATAGAAGTCGTTTTTTTAGAAATCGGTTTTATATATTCGAGTGTGTGTGTCCCAACAGAAAATGCTCTAAGTGCATAAAGTGCATTAACTCGGCAGAGTGCTTCCACAGTACCGAGGCTAGAGTCAACTTCCAGAGCATTGCACTGTGGATAGCTATCCCACAGTTCCCGCAGTCTCCGCTGCCCATTGGAATTCTGGGTTGAGATCCCAATGCCTGATGGGGCTAAAACATTGTCGTGGGTGGTTCTGGGTACATATCATCAGGCTCCCCTTCCCTCCCTCCCTCCGTGAAAGCAAGGGCAGACAATCGTTTTGCGCCTTTTTTCCTGAGTTACCTGTGCAGACGCCATACCACGGCAAGCATGGAGCCTGCTCAGGTAACCGTCACCCTATGTCTCCTGGGTGCTGGCAGACGCGGTACGGCATTGCTACACAATAGCAGCAACCCAGTGCCTTCTGGCAGCAGACGGTACAATACGACTGGTAGCCGTCATCGTCATGTCTGAGGTGGTCCTGGCCACGTCGGCTGGGAGCGCCTGGGCAGACATGGACGCAGGGACTAAATTTGGAGTGACTTGACCAGGTCATTCTCTTTAGTCCTGCAGTCAGTCCTATTGAACCGTCTTCTGGTGAGCAGGCAGGCGATACGGATTGCTAGCAGTCGTACTGTACCATCTTCTGCCGAGCAGCCATGAGATGTGGATGGCATGCAGTCCTTCTGCACCGTCTGCTGCCAGCCAAAGATGTAAAAGATAGATGGAGTGGGTCAAAACAAGAAATAGACCAGATTTGTTTTGTACTCATTTGCCTCCTCCCCTGTCTAGGGGACTCATTCCTCTAGGTCACACTGCAGTCACTCACAGAGAAGGTGCAGCGAGGTAAATCTAGCCATGTATCAGAGGCCAGGCTAACCTCCTTGTTCCAATAAGAACAATAACTTAGGTGCACCATTTCTTATTGGAACCCTCCGTGAAGTCCTGCCTGAAATACTTCTTGATGTAAAGACACCCCCTTTGTTGATTTTAGCTCCCTGAAGCCAACCCTGTAAGCCATGTCGTCAGTCACCCCTCCCTCCGTCAGAGCAACAGCAGACAATCGTTCTGCGCCTTTTTTCTGTGCGGACGCCATACCAAGGCAAGCATGGAGGCCGCTCAGCTCACTTTGGCAATTAGGAGCACATTAAACACCACACGCATTATCCAGCAGTATATGCAGCACCAGAACCTGGCAAAGCGATACCGGGCGAGGAGGCGACGTCAGCGCAGTCACGTGAGTGATCAGGACATGGACACAGATTTCTCTGAAAGCATGGGCCCTGCCAATGCATGAATCATGGTGCTAATGGGGCAGGTTCATGCTGTGGAACGCCGATTCTGGGCTCCGGAAACAAGCACAGACTGGTGGGACCGCATAGTGTTGCGGGTCTGGGACGATTCCCAGTGGCTGCAAAACTTTCGCATGAGTAAGGGCACTTTCATGGAACTTTGTGACTTGCTTTCCCCTGCCCTGAGGCGCATGAATACCAAGATGAGAGCAGCCCTCACAGTTGAGAAGCGAGTGGCGATAGCCCTGTGGAAGCTTGCAACGCCAGACAGCTACCGCTCAGTTGGGAATCAATTTGGAGTGGGCAAATCTACTGTGGGGGCTGCTGTGATGCAAGTAGCCTAAGCAATCAAAGATCTGCTGATATCAAGGGTAGTGACCCTGGGAAATGTGCAGGTCATAGTGGATGGCTTTGCTGCAATGGGATCCCTAACTGTGGTGGGGCCATAGACGGAACCCATATCCCTATCTTGGCACCGGAGCACCAAGCCGCCGAGTACATAAACCGCAAGGGGTACTTTTCGATAGTGCTGCAAGCTCTGGTGGATCACAAGGGACGTTTCACCAACATCAACGTGGGATGGCCGGGAAAGGTACATGACGCTTGCATCTTCAGGAACTCTGGTCTGTTTCAAAAGCTGCAGGAAGGGACTTTATTCCCAGACCAGAAAATAACTTTTGGGGACGTTGAAATGCCTATATGTATCCTTGGGGACCCAGCCTACCCCTTAATGCCATGGCTCATGAAGCTGTACACAGGCAGCCTGGACAGCAGTCAGGAGCTGTTCAACTACAGGCTGAGCAAGTGCAGAATGGTGGTAGAATGTGCATTTGGACGTTTAAAGGCGCGCTGGCGCAGTTTACTGACTCGCTTAGACCTCAGCGAAACCAATATTCCCACTGTTATTACTGCTTGCTGTGTGCTCCACAATATCTGTGAGAGTAAGGGGGAAGACGTTTATGGCGGGGTGGGAGGTTGAGGCAAATCGCTTGGCTGCTGGTTACGTGCAGCCAGACACCAGGGCGGTTAGAAGAGCACAGGAGGGCGCGGTACGCATCAGAGAAGCTTTGAAAACCAGTTTCATGACTGGCCAGGCTACGGTGTGAAAGTTCTGTTTGTTTCTCCTTGATGAAACCCCCCGCCCCTTGGTTCACTCTACTTCCCTGTAAGCTAACCACCCGCCCCTCCTCCCTGCAATCACCGCTTGCAGAGGCAATAAAGTCATTGTTGCTTCACATTCATGCATTCTTTATTCATTCATCACACAAATAGGGGGATGACTACCAAGGTAGCCCAGGAGGGGTGGTGGAGGAGGGAAGGAAAATGCCACACAGCACTTTAAAAGTTTACAACTTTAAAATTTATTGAATGCCAGCCTTCTTTTTTTTTGGGCAATCCTCTGTGGTAGAGTGGTTGGTTGGCCGGAGGCCCCCCCACCGCGTTCTTGGGCGTCTGGGTGCGGAGGCTATGGAACTTGGGGAGGAGAGCGGTTGGTTACACAGGGGCTGTAGTGGCAGTCTGTGCTCCAGCTGCCTTTGCTGCAGCTCAACCATACACTGGAGCATACTGGTTTGGTCCTCCAGCAGCCTCAGCATTGAATCCTGCCTCCTCTCATCACGCTGCCACCACATTTGACCTTCAGCCCCGTCTTCAGCCCGCTACTTACTCTCTTCAGCCCGCCACTTACTCTCTTCAGCCCGCCACCTCTCCTCCCGGTCATTTTGTGCTTTCCTGCACTCTGACATTATTTGCCTCCACGCATTCGTCTGTGCTCTGTCAGTGTGGGAGGACAGCATGAGCTCGGAGAACATTTCATCGTGAGTGCGTTTTTTTTTTTCTTTCTAAGCTTCACTAGCCTCTGGGAAGGAGAAGATCCTGTGATCATTGAAACACATGCAGCTGGTGGAGAAAAAAAAAGGGACAGCGGTATTTAAAAAGACACATTTTATAAAACAGTGGCTACACTCTTTCAGGGTAAACCTTGCTGTTAACATTACATACATAGCACATGTGCTTTCGTTACAAGGTCGCATTTTGCCTCCCCCCACCGCGTGGCTACCCCCTCAACTTTCCCCCCTCCCTGTGGCTAACAGCGGGGAACATTTCTGTTTAGCCACAGGCAAACAGCCCAGCGGGAATGGGCTCCTCTGAGTGTCCTCTGAAGAAAAGCACTCTATTTCAACCAGGTGACCATGAATGATATCTCACTCTCCTGAGGATAACACAGAGATAAAGAACGGATGTTGTTTGAATGCCAGCAAACATACACTGCAATGCTTTGTTGTACAATGATTCCCGAGTACGTGTTACTGGCCTGGAGTGGTAAAGTGTCCTACCATGAAGGATGCAATAAGGCTGCCCTCCCCAGAAACCTTTTGCATAGGCTTTGGGAGTACATCCAGGAGAACCACGAATGCCAGGGCAAAGTAATCCTTTCACATGCTTGCTTTTAAACCATGTATAGTATTTTAAAAGGTACACTCACCGGAGGTCCCTTCTCCGCCTGCTGGGTCCAGGAGGCAGCCTTGGGTGGGTTCGGGGGGTACTGGCTCCAGGTCCAGGGTGAGAAACAGTTCCTGGCTCTCGGGAAAACCGGTTTCTCCGCTTGCTTGCTGTGAGCTATCATCATCTTCTTCATCCCCAAAACCTGCTTCCGTGTTGCCTCCATCTCCATTGAAGGAGTCAAACAACACGGCTGGGGTAGTGGTGGCTGAACCCCCTAAAATGGCATGCAGCTCATCAGAGAAGCGGCATGTTTGGGGCTCTGACCCGGAGCGGCCGTTCGCCTCTCTGGTTTTCTGGTAGGCTTGCCTCAGCTCCTTCAGTTTCACACGGCACTGCTTCGGGTCCCTGTTATGGCCTCTGTCCTTCATGCCCTGGGAGATTTTGACAAAGGTTTTGGCATTTCGAAAACTGGAATGGAGTTCTGATAGCACGGATTCCTCTCCCCATACAGCAATCAGATCCCGTACCTCCCGTTCGGTCCATGCTGGAGCTCTTTTGCAATTCTGGGACTCCATCATGGTCACCTCTGCTGATGAGCTCTGCATGGTCACCTGCAGCTTGCCACGCTGGCCAAACAGGAAATGAGATTCAAAAGTTTGCGGTTCTTTTCCTGTCTACCTGGCCAGTGCATCTGAGTTGAGAGTGCTGTCCAGAGCGGTCACAATGGAGCACTCTGGGATAGCTCCCGGAGGCCAATACCGTCGAATTGTGTCCACAGTACCCCAAATTCGAGCCGGCAAGGCCGAGTTAAGCGCTAATCCACTTGTCAGGGGTGGAGTAAGGAAATCGATTTTAAGAGCCCTTTAAGTCGCAATAAAGGGCTTCATCGTGTAGACGGGTGCAGGTTTACATCGATTTAATGCTGCTAAATTCGACCTAAAGTCCTAGTGTAGACCAGGGCTTTATCAGTGGCAACTGTGGAGCTAATTCCCCACACGCCATTTTGAGAATTTTGCAGATAATGCCACCAGGCTTAGCATATTCTCTTAAAGATACAGAGGCACCTTCCAGACATCCATCGGTTACAGAGAGGGCCTTTCCAAACTGCCATTTAGCAAGGAGGGATGATATTAAACCCAGACTATCTGTTTTAGGCCATGTGGTAATCTGAAAGGCAAAAACTCTTTGTCCTGTCACTGGTAATACCAGGAAACATGAAAAACTAACGATGCCAACTTCAACCAAGATAGGAACAAAGAGCAGAACAAAAACTGACCATTGTTTGTTTCCCTGTATCAGCTAAGATTTCACAGGAAGAAAACCCACTATGCTAGAGAAAAAAAAGCAGGCTAGTTTATTACAAAAAAATAATGGGCAGGTAGAACAAAGATGTGTGGCTTCCTTATCTTACCACTAAAAATGATCTCACTTTCACCTCAGGGATATAATATTTTATGGGTCGTAATTTTTAGAGGAGTATGATTTCTCAAGTTGCTTGGTTTCATATAAATATGAACTTAGAAGAGAAGAACTTAGGGATAACTCATTCCCCTGGAGATGCTTTATCTGGAGTTGCAGTCTTCATTATCTTGGAATTTTCTGAAAGTTGCTGGAAGGTGTACATTTCTCACAGAAACTAACACATAATAAAAATAGGGGGGAAATCCTTTGACCTTCCCCTCAAACAATTTCACAGCTAGAAACAACACTACAGAACAACCTCAAGTCTTCTCAATTGCTTTCTTCATATTTTCTGACTTTTTAAAAAATGAACTTTTATTCGTCAACACAAATTAGCCTTTGGTGTAATTGCCCAACTTTTTCAGGGTCCCTAGAGAATGGCTGTTGTCATCTAGTGGATTGAACATGGGATAAGGACATAGGAACTATTAGGTTTGAATCCTGACTCTACCATTACATTTTCTGTGGCTTTGCACAAGTCAGTCATGCTAGATTCTGACTAACGTGAAGTCCAGAGCAAGATACGGTGTGGATCTGCATTACCCTGGGGGACGAGGGGGTCGCAAGGAAAGGCATTTTGCCTAGTGGAAAATCAGGACACCGCTGCAAGTCATACATCAGCTGCTACTTCAACTCACTGTAAGGTGCAGCTTATTACCTCTTACTTTGCCTAATGGAATAAGTCCCACTTTCTTGACTGCATACATTTGCACTGTGTGTTTTTGCTACCCCCTCACGAGGACTGCGATGTTCTGGTTTCTTCCAGTGTGTTTGCAGTGCAGTTTGCCCTCATGTCCTTTCATGCAGTGTGATTTGCTCTTTAACTGTCTGTTCACTATGCAATTTGCCTTAGCTCTTAGTAGGTGCAACAGAATTTCAGCTGCACGTCTCTACATGGAGGAAGATTGCTCATAGTAGACACTCTGCTACAAAACTAGCATGGCAATGATGGAATGAGCTGGAGGTTAGGAAATGTTAAAGTGCCTTTAATGTCCATACTAAGAACTGTGTTCATCACTGTTTCATTGATGTAACGTTAATAGAATTGTATAGAAACTGGTTATTGCCAAACAGCAGCCCTGCCTGTTGCACACCCCTTGCGGGAAGCCATGCACACTCTGCCTCTGTTTTCCCTCTCAAGTAACTCAATAACTTCACTTCAGGCTCTTCTCTCAGTAATACCCCTCTTTGGGGCTGGCTTCTTATTAAAACCTCATGAAAAATAGTCCACAACAAAAGTCCAAACAAAATCCATTCATCACTCCCACTGCTATCAGTCATTAAGGGCACCCAATACTTCATCTGATGCCCCACATAGTGCATCCTTGTGCCTTCACCATACCTGGACTCAGTCTGTCCTCTTCTGTTCCTCTGGTCCTGGACGGCCACCTCAGCCCTTCCTTCTTCTGTTCCTTGCAGGAACCTCCCAGCCTCTCTGCTTGGAGCATCTTTGCTGGGGAAGAAAGCATCCCTCATTCCCCTTGGTCCTGGTTCTCTGGTCCTGGAGAAAAGTCAGTGGATAAGCTCCTCCATGCTCCCTTGCCTTCAGCATGTTCCAGCTCTCTGGCTTAGAGACACCAAGGGGACACAGACATGGAAGCACAAAAAGGAGACAATGCAGGTCAGCATGATGGGCAGCACTCTCAGCACACAAGCTTATTTCTCTGTTGGAATATGGAAGAGTGTTTGAATATGTTTAGAAATAGTTGTTCATGTCAAACATCCTTGAATGCACAAATTTATCTCAAAAGATTGATGAAGAGAAGCATGTCCTGAGAACATAACTGGGAAACAAGAACTCCTGAATTCTAATCTCAGTTCTACCTCAAACTTCTTCCGTAGCACTGGGCAATCACATACCCTCGGATTCTATTTCAGCACCTGTGAAATGAAAATACTGTCCCTTCCCTCAATAAGGAGTTTCAAGTTCCTTGCAAATGAGAGAGTTGAGAATGTATGTGAACTTTGTGAAGAATGCAGTTGATAAAGACTTGGAATAGACTAAAGAAAAGGAGTTGAAATCTCATGGAGAAAACTCAAACCAATCTGAAAACAGTAACCAATATTTTCCAAGCTTAACATTCAGACTGACTGACTGAGAGCAGTTGCATGGAAGATGATGCCTATAAATGACTGGAGCTACTATTCGTTGCATTAACCTCAAGGCAAAAGTTACGGTCACTATTGGAAAACATGGTAACATTTTGTTCAAAGAAACCTACAGCTTTTTAATTTTTGCTTTATTTTTTCATCTCCACTCCAGTTCTACATTCCTTGCTGCAAGGCCCATTTGTTTGCCTTAGCGGTGAATGAATGGGAGGGCTTTTGTGCGTGATTTTAAAGATTTTTCATGTGGTTCGCTGCTGGGTTACTGTTGGTTGTTGTGGATGGGCTGATTAATGGCTCAAGTGGGGTAGGTTACAAGTGGTCTTTTCCATAGGTATGTATTTAAAAGCTGTCAAGAAGCTCTGAAAAAGCCAAAGGGTAGGTGTCTCATTTCTTATGGATGCAGGCATCAGTCAACCAAAGATCATTGTATGAACCCTACAAAAAACAGAAAATATTTGAAATACTGAGATAACCATATTGATATACCTCAGCAAAACTGTCACATTTTTAAGGGAAGCAACTGTACATTTATTGAGGTCAGAGAAGTTCTTAGGGTCGAATTTAGTCTTTTGTTACTAAAAGATTTTTTTTTCCGCTTGTTGAACCTGTGTCAGAGCAGAAGGGAAACTGCTTTACAGTCCTCCATTGGATGCAGAAATCTCATGTTGTCCAACAAATGCCATCTCTTTTTTGGCAAGATGGCTGCTGCTGCAGGTATGCTTCAAAAGCTCATTCATGAAGATTAGTGCTTTTTTACCATTTGAACCATCAGCTTTCTGCAGTGAGCAAAATGGGCACAGGTATCCTTTAATAGGTCTTCAGTGTAATGCTCCATTGAGTGTCTTTTTAGGCTTCTACCCCAAGATTCAAGATCACAATAGCATGGAATGGGGGGACCTTCAGGGACAGGAGAGTAGAGGGAAGGGTTTTTTATGGACAGTGGTGGGGATGGTCTAATAGAAATGGTCAATGGGTGCCTATATCTACTGTAATACAATATGTGACCACTCGCCTCAGATGGGTCATTAGCAGGGACCCAGCCTATCATCAATGGATCTGAAAGAATGAGTCACTACTAATTAAACTAAAAGCTAAAGTTAGGGGAGAATAATATCCCATGAGGTGTAATGAAAAGTGTTTCACATTTCAGTTTAGGATTTTACATCCCTTCCCCCACCAAAGAATGAACAAATAGCAAGAAAAATAACTTAAACGCCTCCTGATAGTAATGCAGTCTCATTACCGTGTTTTGGTTTTTAACTTTTTTCTCCTGCTAACATTAGATAAGAATGTAAAACGAAAACTTGGCTTCTTTTGGCCAACTATCCAGCGTACTGACTGGAGGAAAAAAGGTAAAGTACTTAAGGCGGCTGATTCAAAACTGCATAAAAACCAATTAAAAATATTTAGTATTAGAGAATCAGTAAAATGGGCCATAATTTTTGTTCTGTGTTCATATGGTGCCTAGCACAATGGGGTCTTGGTCCATGATTAGGACTCCTGCGCACTATAGTAACACAAATCAATAAAATAATAATAATAATAATAATAAATAATAATAATAATTCATAATTGCACATTGAAGCTGTGAGGCAAGAGTCTCCAGGGAGATTTCCCTGTATTCCTCTGTGCCACTCCAACTTATAGGTAGTCTAGGGAGTAAACACAGCCTACATCTCCTTGTGCTTCCTCTTTGGCAGGGAATTTAATTAAATTATTGGTAGGCATTGCTCATCTCTGATCTTCTTCGATCCGCTCTTTACAATCGAATATAGTTTCCCACCTACCCGCAGAGGTACTTGCGAAAAAAAACTCTTCTGCTTTTTTATTTTTAATATAGGATTTAAAAAGAAAATCCTGCTACATGCAAAATTTCAAAACTATTCTGGTGCCTTAACATTTATGCTAATAAAAAATGATAGTGTGGGGTCAGATCCTCAGCAGGTGTAAACAGGTGTAGAAAGGAGCTACACTGATTTACACTAGCTGAGACTCAGGTGTATTTGGCAGCACAGAGCTTGGAGTTTATGAGGACACTCTAATTTAGGACATTAAGTCCTTGGCTGAGCCCATCTAACGTAAATATGTTGTACAAAACTTGCTCGCTCTCTCACACATACACACACGCACGCATATTCATAATATAACAGCTCCTGATAGAGATAATGCTTGATGCAGAGAACATCATTATTAGTTCTGACTGACAAACGGATTTCTAATCTAACATAAGTCTGTCACAAATAGATCACAAGAGCTTTGAAGTCAAATGAATTGTTAGGAGCTGA